CATGTTTATAAATGATTTATTTATGTTTATGAAACCTTGTGGTTACTTTTTAACAGCATATATGAGATGCATGAATACATAGCAGGACATGGAAAGAGGAAGACACCTAAGGCTGCTGCTGCCTTCAGATAACTGCTCAGTTTTAAACAGGAAGGGTGTTATATAAGTGTCAGCATATGAGTGTTAGGGGTTCATGGAAAGAGGGAGTTTTTCTACTTGCTCTGCCACTCTGAGTGTAAGCACAAGGGTTCTTCTGTTAGCCAACTAGACTAAAACATACTCAAATACATCACTTTCCTTAAAAAAAAAAAACCCCAGAGAATATTTGGATATGAAGTCATTCTTAACTAAAGATTACACTATTTCTTCCTTCTCATATACATATTTTTTTTTACATTAAAAATGGGCGGTGCAACTATGAAAGGACATTTCATATGTTCATACACCTGCGGTCTGACCTCTCCTTCACCATAATAGGCAAGAATAAAGCTTTTGTGTTCAAAGAGAGGCTTAGCTCTTCCTCTTTGTGTTCTCAGAAAGGTAAAGCTCACAGATCACATGACCAGATGTGCATTATCTCGTTTAAAAAGAAAGTGGGATTTCTTGCGATAACAGCTCTTTAAGAGGCCTCTTCATGCTCAGCAAAAAATACACTGAGTTCAATGGCTCGTGCGCTAAAAAAATACTTAAGGTGTAATGTTCTAAAAGGGAGGGTCAACAGTGTGGTTTTAAGGCTTGGTTGTATTTATAAGATGCAAAGCAATGTGCTCATGCTTCATTTGTAGAAAATCACGTTATTTTTTTAATATATCTTACTTTGATTAAATACAGCAACTCAGCTAACATGAAAACGACTGTCAAATATCCTAGTTCCTCTGAAAAGCCCACCCTCAAGAGGCTCAGATTGGTCAGCTAACATAATGTGCTGGGATTCGTGGATTGGCTCCACGACACCAGGAAGCGTCACGCGCCTTCATGCATGTGACGCATATCCCGTTCTTTACAAGCTTGTTTACATCCTCGCTACGACATGCCGTTAACGCTAGAAGCTGTGCATGTAATTGATCAATTTTAACAATTAAAAACACTTAGAGGTTGTGGCTCACAATCCACAGCTTCGTCAGTTGGAGGAGTTTTTATCCAAGATATCATCTAATAAAAAAATTCTAATTTCAGAAACTATTTCAATTGAATGTACTGTATGTCACAATAGGGGGAAAAATGACAATCCTAACTACTGTTTTCATGCCGACTTTAATCTCAGAGCCATTGTGCAACTTTTGTTTTTTTGTTAAACACATTTCCATTGACGTTGCCAGTATTTCCTGAGAGCTCTATGCTTAAGAAAAGCTTTGTCTTAGGCTCTGTTTACACTTACAATCAAGATGCGTATTTTTATCAATGTGAATAAAAGTGGATGACACTAAATACATCTCTAAAAAAGATCAACAATCTTCAGTAGTTTGATCGAATGTGCTTTAACAACTAAAGACAGACATGTACTTCTACTGATGAACACATGATCATTATGTTGTGAGAAAGTAAGCAATATATTCATACTTCAGTGATGTATATCAAAATCAAAACACTCAAATTATGATCAACATTTATGCACACTATATGCTTATCCTAGCGCGTCTTACACCCGATTCGAGGAGGGCTGCAGCTCTGCAAATTTTTGCTCAAACCTTCATCAAACACAGCTGGTCCAAATAAGTTGTTAAAGACTATAAAGCAGGTTTGAGTTGGAGGTGGTTGGAGATAAAATTTTGAGACCACTGCCCTAGCATGTGTGTAAAAATTCAAGTATACTTAGGGCATAAGAACCTGTACAGATGATAAAACAACCTACTAACCGCTTACTCTCAAAATAAAATATGTTTGCTGTTCATTCAAACTACTTATTTAAAATGAGCTGAATCAACACAATTCTTAAGTTTTTTTGGGGGACAGCTTAATTGTTTTATGTTCAATCCACTTCAATTTGTTAAAAAAAACTAACAAGTTAACTTAATCTCTTACTGTTGCCCCAACGCAAACTGATTGTGTGAAACCCAGCACTTTTTACAGTGTATGCGTTTATTCTAGAAGTTCAGTGACTTCAATACTTCATAGAGGTGTGTTTTCAGAAACAGAGAGGAAGTCAAACAATTTCTAAAAGCAGCTTTCACAGGAAAAGAACTCTTAAGCTCACATATAAAGAAATAATCGGTTATAAATAGACATTTGTGCTGGAATGAAGGCTTTATGGAGCTTAATTTGACATTTGATTGGTTTCTGTGTTGCAGAGGCTTTTAAAAAAAACCCTACCAGTAGTAGTTCCCATATTAATGCTTGTGTCTTGTGTTTAAAACAAAAGGAAGGAAATCATGTCAGGGTCAACTAACCCTTTCACATGCCACAAAACCTCCCACATCCTAAAGTGTCAATACAAGTGACTTTCAGTTCCTTTCAATACTGAGAAATATGATCATGGATGACCCATAACATCAGGCTATGAGGACAAAGGAAAGGGCCATTGCATTGCAGAAAACGATCAATGGCCTTTAGTCAAATTCAATGCAAATGTTAATCTCCAAAAGCAGTGATCAACCCAAGCATAGTGATCTACCCAAGTAAAGGCATGGTACTGGATAAACACCCTGGTCCTGCAGCGATATTTCTGAGACAGGTTTAACCCTGACCTACTATTTAAATTAAAAAAAGGAAACCAAAAATAAATATTACAATGAAATGAAATCAAACCTAATTTAATTTCGTATCGTTACAAAATACAAAGCACACAGCAAAACAACAAAAATACTCAAATAATAGTATATTTTTATAGTTATACTAAAGAAATGCTGCTGAAAGCAAATTGTGTCATAGTTGCCGGCCTTTTCATCAATGAACCATGAATCAGACTGGAGGTTTTGGATACCAGAAGAGACTTCATTAACACATAATAAAGCCGAGAATGTGCAGAGCAGACCTCAGAGCAATCTAAAGTCTCTCCCAGACATTTCTGAAGTGTCTTGTGTTATGGTGTACATTTTATAATTTCTCCCCCTACCTCTAGGTGTTCTTGTTTTAACTTCTGACCATCCTTGGATAAGTTTTTACTTTCCAGTTAATGTTTAGGTGATCTTGTTATTATCAGCTCTCAACCATGGTAGCTCAGGTCTACGTACTGTAAGCAACTTGTTTTCACACCAGAGATGTCACTTCATAGATGCAACTTATGCAAAAGAACGTGTTTACATACATTGCCATGATGGTAGGGCTGCTCGATTTTGGTAAAAATCCTAATCACGATTATTTTGGTCATAATTGTAATCACAATTATGCAAAACGATTATCAGTTGAAGCCACAATTATTATCACTCATGATAATTTTTTAAAATAAATATTTCCCAAATGATGTTTAACAGAGCAAGGAATTTTAATAGTATTTTCTCTAATATTTTTTCTTCTGGAGAAAGGCTTATTTGTTTTATTTTGGATAGAATAAATGCAGGTTTAAATATTTTGAAACCCATTTTAAGGTCGATAATATTAGTCCCCTTAAGCAATATATTGTTTGATTGTCTGCAGAAGAAACTACTGTTATCCAATGAACTGCCTAATAACCCTAATTAAGCCTTTGAATCGCACTTTGAATCTAAATGCTTGTATTTTGAAAAATATCTAGCTAAATATTGTATGCTGTCATCATAGCAAAGATAAAAGAAATCAGTTATTAAAAATGAGTGATTAAAACTATTATGTTCCGAAATCTTTCCATTAAACCGAAATTGGGGGAAAAAAGGGTCGCTAATATTCAGGAGGGCTAATAATTCTGACTTCAACTGTATACATACAGTTATTTTCCATTCTACAAAGGAAGGAGAAATAAATACAATATAATAATAATATGAAACAAACTGTGCTTTAAGCATCTTCACCCTAAGAAAAACACTTTAGCTACAACAATCCAGAGCAGTGAGGGATTTTCTTATTTTGTTTGATTAATGATAGAAACTGATGATTTTGACACCTATTTGACCAATAAAGCGCTCACGTTAAGATGATATGAGTGCGCTCTGCTCGTCTCAGTGTGCGAATGAGACCGAATGCTGACCGTATGCTTCTGACTGTGTGTACGCACCGCACACACATACACACAGAAGCACGCGGTCTTTCGCGCTTTTTAAGAGCAACATGTGTACAACTGGAAAGGGGGCAGTATATGATGCAATAATCGTTTATCCTGATTATTGGTTTTTCATAATCGTTAGAAGCCAAAATCGAAATCGGATTTTCGATTAATTGCACAGCCCTACATGATGGTACAGTAAATTGATGTGATAGATGGTACATTAACTTGATCTGTGAAAGGCATTTAGGAGACTCACTCTCCTAAATTCCTTTCACAGATATAGCTTCATACGAGTATTTAACATATATTTAATCAGTGCTGGCGATGCGGTGGCGCAGTAGGTAGTGCTGTCGCCTTACAGCAAGAAGGTCACTTGTTCGAGCCTCAGCTGGGTCAGTTATCGTTTTTGTGTGGAGTTTGCATGTTCTCCCCGTGTTTGCGTTGGTTTCCTCTGGGTGCTCCGGTTTCCCCTAGAGCCCAAAGAGTGTGGTACAGGTGAATTGAGTAGGCTAAATTATCCGTAGTGTATGAGTGTGATTGAGTGTGTATGGATGTTTCCCAGAGATGGGTTGCAGCTGGAAGGGCATCCGCTGCATAAAACATATGCTAGATAAGTCGGTGGTTCATTCTGCTGTGGTGACCTCAGAATAATAAAGTAACTAAGTCAAAAAGAAAATGAATGAACTAAAAGTTTACTAAAACCAAAATAAGTAAATTATTATTAATATTAAAAACACAAATAAATACAAAAAAATGAAATCACACAAAAAAAATTGTAAAATGATTCCCCTTCAGTAAGCGTTGCCATATTCCCATGTATTCAATACCTTGTCTGGTTGTCCCATGGATGTAATGAGTAACTTGTTTTCGTATTTCTTTTCAGCGTCCTCAACAGGGCCGCATGTCAAGGAACACCCCGCTTAACATGAACCATTACGCCAACAAGAAGAGTGCAGCGGAGAGCATGCTGGATATAGCGCTGCTGATGGCCAACGCGTCCCAGCTGAAGACGGTGCTGGAGCTCGGACCCTCCTTCTCCTTCTACATCCCCCTCATCACCCTCATCAGCATCTCCCTCACCCTGCAGATCATCGTGGGTATCCTTCTCATCTTCATAGGTGAGACCAGCTCTCCTCAGTTCTGCAGAGAGTTCACAGGTGCCAGAATGAAGAGACAAGGTTGACCTTTTACATGATTAGATCTAATCGATTTCTGATACCTTCGATAAGATTGCTGTTGTTATTATCATTAGATGCAATGAACTATGAAAATCACAGAAACTGAAGGATGAAATTAAGGGGTTATGCCAAAAAATAATAAAAAAAAACAATTGTTAAATGTTATATACTGCTATATATATATATATATATACAGTATATATGTACATATATATAGAATTGAGGTCAGAATTGTTAGCCCTCTTGTTAAATTTAATTTTTAAAAATATTTTTCCCCCAATTTCTGTTTAACAGAGAGTAGATTTATCTTTTCAACATTTCTAAACATAATAGTTTTAATAACTATTTTCTAATAACTGATTCATTTTGTCTTTGATGACAGCATGTAATAGTGCAATTTAAAGGCTTAATTAGGCAAGTCAGGGTAAATAGGAAAATCAATGTATAATCAATGGTTTGTTCAGTAGACAGTCGGAAAAAAATTTTTTGCTTAAGGGGACTAATAATACTATATAATATTAAATATATAAAATGTAAAACTTCTTTTATTCTAGCCGAAATAAAGTTTATTATTTTATATAGACAGGTTGGCATAAAATGGTTTCATTTGTATATAAATATATCTGATATGCGGAACATTATTTCACCCACATTTTAATATTTTATTACAAACTTATATATATCATATTTTTGAAAAATATTTAAATACAAATGCATTTCAAACTAGTTGTCTTGTGTTTGTACATCGGTATGCACAATATAATAGGCATAAGATGATAAAAGTTTTCAAGGTATACCACGGTTTGTTTAGTCAAGGTTTCATTCATTCATTCATTCATTCATTTTCTTGTCGGCTTAGTCTCTTTATTAATTCGGGGTCACCACAGCGGAATGAACCACCAACTTAACCAGCACATTTTTATGCAGCGGATGCCCTTCCAGCCGCAACCCATCTCTGGAAAACATCCACACATACACTCATTCACACACACTCATACACTATGGACAATTTACCCTTACCAATTCACCTGTTCCGCATGTCTTTGGACTGTGGGGGAAACCGGAGCACCCGGAGGAAACTCACGCGAAAGCAGGGAGAACATGCAAACTCCACACAGAAACGGCAACTGACCCAGCCGAGGCTCGAACCAGCGACCTTCTTGCTGTGAGGTAACAGCACTACCTACTGCGCCACTGCGTCGCCTAAGTCAAGGTTTTAAAACCACCAAAATTTTCTGTTTTACCTTTCCTATTACGTTTTTTTTAGTAAAACAGTATCTCCAGCAGAAAAGATATCTAAAGACACCGTTTTAAAATGTAAAGAAATCTGTGTTTTTGAAACTAATGAAGACAGCAGAAGTAGCTATGTTTTCATCCAGAAATGCGAATAAAATTTCTGCGCAAAACTGGAAAATTGCATAAAAGATGTGCAAATAACGCAGCATCCAATATCAAAAGTAAAAACAGAATTGGCAGCAAGAGATGCGTGAATGTTTTCTTCATTTAACAAATGATTCGCGCTTCAGAAAACAATGCCATGACACGATGAAGGTGTGGTGGCATTTAAAGACGTGAGAGCACAGACGCTCTTGACGGTTCTGAAGGTCATTAATAATATAATAACACTAATACTTAAATGATTAAGGCATTTTAGAATGTCCAAAACAACTTTTCAGATGTTTTACAGTGTGCTCAGCCTGCTGGTTTATCCATTTCACACACATTTTTATCACATGATCACTTATTACAAAATCACATGATTTTAATGCGCATACTGAAATTTGTTTGGTAAAAGTGTTTCCATCATAGTTTATGCACATTTTTTCTTATTGATTAAAAAGTTTATCCTACTCAGTTATGCGCATGTGTTTTTTTTATGTGCATTTTTAAATTGATGCGCATCTTGCCGTTTCCATCAACCGATCTTTTATGTGCATATCTAAAATGCGCATAAAAATAGATGAATGGAAACATAGTTAATGATTAATTTTAATAACTTAGCCTGACATGTTTACTGTTTAAAAATATTTAAATGTTTCTCAAAATAAAACATTGTGTTCAAAGGGGAAAAAAGTTTTTGTTTTTTACCCAGACATTTAAAAAGAACATATTTTAGAGCAGTAATCATAATACCGTGAAACCGTGATATTTTTATCCAAGGTTATTATACCTTCAGAATCATATATTGTCCCATGCCTACAATATAAACATCTCAAAAGTATAATTGGAAAAATGTGACAATTACTATTTACTGACAAAATGTGATTTTTTTTCATTTACTTATTCTCATGTTGTTCTGAACCAGTGACTTTTTATGAAAAAAAAAATTAAGTTCATCCTTTTCTTCCTCATAAAATAATCATTAAAGGACAAAAACAACCCTTTTTTATTTTAATTCCTTAATGATTATTTGATAAAAAAGATTTGCTAAATACTTTTCTTGAAAATATTCTTAGTCAGAATAATATTTTGGCCTAAAAAATAACTCATTTCATTTATGGGAGATGGGTTTCACAAGATACAAGTAAACAATTCACATTTAACATTTTACAGTTTGTTAAAGGAGACTGAAATTGATATTTTTAAGCCCTGCATTTCACTCCTACAGTATACATAACAGCAAATGATGGCAAAATGAATAAAACAGGTTGCATCTGTTTGTTTGTTAGAGATTTAATATTAAGTCATACTTACATCAGCTGGTAAAAGTCCATCCTGCAACATTTTGGTATTTCCCACCAGAAACTCCTTCACTTTTACTTTCATCCACACCATGAAAGTGAGAATCAATTAATCAAATGAAGAGCTTCCCAATTTGACAAATTCTCCTTCCTCTTCTCAACTTCCAAACAGCACATGCAGTCTGTAATTCAGGCAAAATTGACTTTATTTCATTGATATTAAAAGATTTACAGTAATAAAGATGAATGCACTTTTGAATATTTGACCTGTTCAACTTAATTATCATTATTTTGCAGATGTAAATTCTACGTTTATTTCATTTAGCGCTGTTAGCTGTTCAATGCTGTTGTACTGGATGTAAATGTCCTGAATGCTTTAATGAGCTGCTGTTCTGGTGTTTGTCCTGCAGTGAAGTGGAATCTGAACGACTCAAGTAAACACTACATACTGAATCTCCTGGAGAACATCGTCACCGCTCTCGTCTTCATCGTTGTTGTAGTCAATGTTTTCATCACAGCTTTTGGCGTCCAAAGACCAGACGACAAGACATCGTAACCTGCAACACTCTGGACATTATCAATAATCAAAACATAACACACTCAAATGTGCCTCTATGTAAATATCCACATTTGGAAAACCTTATTTTCAGTCCTAGAAATGAGGCAATAACAGCTGGAATGTTATCAATTGTGTATCACACTGTAAATTATTACGAACGCAAATGTAATGGCACATAACTGTTATATCGGTAATTGTTTATGTGTAACTCACAAAGTAACAAATATTCTGTTACTGCAGTGCTTCCCACACATAGACTTTACTTGGGCGGGCCGACCAGGTATATTAACAGCCGCTCAAGTATATTTAGTGACATTTTTCTACTGTTATTATCATCCCTTAAAATTTTTTTGTATCCGCCCAATATAAGCAAACATCCGCGAGCGGTTAAGTAGTGGAAAATCTTCTCTCCTTTACTCGTTTCATACTGCTCATTCTGTGTGTGCGAGAACTGTCAACAATCACGTGCTCTGCAGACCCACAGAGACCTGCACCTTTTTGCGTCCCGCCGGTATTTCTAAATGTACAAAAATGTCCGGGATTTGCTTTTGTTTTCCAAGCTGCTGTTAATTTTATGTGCACAGTCGCGAGAGCAACATTAAATAATTAATTTTTAAATCTAAACGACTCAGAAAAACTTGACTAAATTCTCGGAGAGGATGAAATTACATCTAGATTGGCTGCAGAATATATGGCTGTACACCATTAGAAACGGGTCATTAACTCATTTGTCTTATTTAAATATGTTTTATTCTTGTAATTATTATAATTTTATAAGATATTGTCTGTTTTTATACATTTTTTTGTCATTTATTTCTCATTCGCTGTATATTTTATTAATTTGATTGTCCATATTTTACATATTTTATCCATCTGAAATGCTTTGGCAATGCTGTACAAAATGTAATGCCAATAAAGCAAGCTGAACTTGAATAAGAGATAGAGAGAAGCAGATTTGACCTGTCAGTGGGTGCACATGGCTCCTGAATAGCATAAAAGAGAAATAGTGATTTTTTTTTTAAACTCTAACCCATCTAAAAGAAAAAGTTATAACCAGATAATAACAAAAATATTGTTCAAAATCAAATTATGTTTGTCGTATATAGTTAACTATTTATGCGCTGTGGGTACTAGGTGTGTTTCCATCCGGCTACCACTGCAAGTATATTTCAAACCTGTGGGAAGCACTGTACTGCAGGAGTGAAAACTATTTAGTCATACCATAAATTTAAAAAATGGTCCATCTGATACCTTGAACTGTGAAAGCCTCAAAGCAATTCATAACTATTTTACCAGAGTTTCTGAGGGTGTTCATTCATCCTTACAGAATTTAGGCCAGTATAAATATGTATGCAGACATCCAAAAATCTGTTTGCTTGAATCTTGCTTTGTTAAGATATGAACAAAAGTGAGTTTATTTGTAAAAACTGATCAAATATCGGTCTTAAAGCCTTACATGTAATTTACCTTTATAAAAGCTGCAGAAAACTTGTTTCTGTTTTGGTAAATGTGAGGCTAACTCAGGGGCATTATTCTGTTATAATCAGTGTTGGGGAAAGTTCCTTTTGATAGTAAGGCATTACAATACTGAGTTACTCGCCAAAAAAGTAAATAGTTGCATTAATTAGCTACTTTTTAATGGTAAGTAAATCATTACGGTACTTTTGCGTTACTTTTCCTTAACTGGCTGAGACTTGATCTCATTTTAGAAATTGCAGGGTTTTATTTTATTTAATAGAGGAGCTCTGCAATTAACACACCGTGTAACCTGCATTTACCTTTTAAAAAATAACAATAATAATTTAGGATAATATTGGCTATGTCCGAAACCGCAAACTTCCATACTATATAGTACGCTAAAATCAGTGTGCGAGCTGAGCAGTATGTCTGAATTCGTAGAATTCGAAAATCAGTATGCGAGCATCCCATGCACGCTGCACTTTCCCATGATGCCTTGCGAAAGAATTCATGAATGGGATTGAAGCAACTTAACTGACTCGGTATGTCATGTGATTATGACAAAATGGCAGATATAGTATGTTAGAATTCCATTCATACTACTCACATTCATACTGTATAAAACGTACTTTTCTAGCAGCCGAGTAGTACATTTAAATTCAAATGCAGTACCTACTGAGTAGTAGGCAAGTTCAGATGCAGCCGTTATCCTCTGAGAACTTCTTTATCCCTGATTAATGAAAGCTTAAAGCAATTTGTTTGCTACTTTTGTACTTTTTGTCGTCTTCATTGATGCGTTCAAAATAATGTAACGATTCAATGTGATGACCTTCATTTTACTTCAGTAATTTATTCTTAAATGCTAAATAAACTAATAAGTAACTCAAATAATATGACTTAATTTTTTAAAGGCATTGTGTTACTTGTTACTTAAAAAGGTTGTACTATCACGTAACTTGCGTCACTTGTAATGTCCCAACACTGGTTCTAACACGTATATGCTCCCAGTCAAAAGTTTTTGACTTTGGTTTCACCAAAGGTGCATTTTTATAATCGTAAATTCAATTCACTCAATATTATTGTGAAATATTATTTAAATTTAGAACTGTTTTCTATGTGAACAATGTAGATGTAATTTATCCAGTGTCCATCAAATTTAAGAAATAGTTTCAATTTGAAGACATTTTCCTTGTGTTGCTTCATGTTTTTGTCAAAATTGTGATATAGCAACATTTAAAATGTTATATAATTTTTGTATTTTTTATACTTATACTTCTGAATCACAAATTAAATCAAAAGTGATAGCTATTCCATTTCTTGACCATTTTGAGGTATGTAAACCTAAATGCTCCCACCCTATTTCCTGTTTTACATTTTTTTTTTATCACTTCAGAGAATCCAAAGAGAGTCGCATATTGATAATGTTATGATAGCTGTTTTAACAATAAGTTATGATTGAATTGCCTCTTGTTAAATTACAGTTTGTTAACAAGCAGGAAATGTTCATGGGCCAACGACATGACCACATCAAAATGGTCAAAAATCTAAATCAAATTCATCATTTTCAGCTTACCAAGTATATTTTCCCCCCACAAAAGTATAATTTGGAACTAAATATTGTAATCACTCAATATAAGATATAAACGATTGAACAAACCACACAAATAAGCATCTGATTTGAGGAAAAAAGTTTTCCTTGAATTTACTGTGGACTTTTATTCTGCCTAACGTTACCTAAAAACATCGATGTATAGACTCCGTTCAGCACACTGGCGTTGTCTTGAACAAGAACAAAGTTGGTCAAGTTTGCGTTTGTTTTTGCTTAAAGGTCATTTAGAGGCTTTGCTGTGTTAATAGTTCAAAAGCAGAATAAACTGCTTACGAGAAAAGTCCTTGCCAAATACAAATACTACGTTTGACTTGTCAAAGTTACACATTCGATTATCTTAAAGTTCAATCTGTTTTTTATCAGTTGGCTCAAACAAATTACAAAATTAACTGCCGAACGTTACCTCAGAAATCTTTTTCATTTGAGACTGATAGAACAGCGCCCTCTGGCGAGAAGGAGCCGCGCTACACATTTCAAAACAAATTGCCTTTTTTCTAAATGATATTTAATGTTTAGCGTTTTCATATTTGTCTTGATTCTTTATAGTCAAATGTCTATGCATTTCTTGAGCTTTTTGTAAATTTTCTATGTATATTGTTTGTATGAATTACCAAATATTTCCGTTGTTTTTCATTTTTAGATGACAGTATTGTGTAAAAATGACTTCTTTGTGGATATAAATTAGACTAACAGTTGTCTGTATGTTTATATTGCACACTGGCTTTCTTAAGTCCTGATGCTGCTGCATGTAAGGGCAAATCTAACATTCTTCTATCAATAAAATGCCTTTTTTAGCAAATGTTTAAAAATTAATGTTTGTTTTTTGTAAATGAAGACATGAAAAGGAAATTAATCTCAAAACAAATTAGTGATCAAACCAAACGTTTCAAACCATAGTTTTATTTAGTTTAATCGAGTTATTAAATCCTGATGAAAAATACAATTTCTCAGTTAAATATAGTAAAATTGGCAGATTTATCTGAAACATTTCTAGACTGAAAATATTTTACATCAGGGCTGCCCAATCCTAATCCTGGAGATCTAAATTCCTGCAGAGTTCAGCCCCAACCCTTATAAAAAAAACAACAACAACTAAACCAACTTAGCAGGATCTAAAGGAGCACTTGGTGATTAAAGACTTTGCAGGAAGGTAGATCTCCAGGAACCGTACTGGGCACCCTGTTATACATAATATCTCTCTGCAGAATCAAAAGTTGACAATATCAGTTATTACTATTAAACAACCTTTGCAAACATGCTGCTAGTACAAAAGTAAACAAACATCATAAAGTAATTTGTTGAAACCTTAGCCTGCAGAAAAATATGGATTATAAAGTAACAAACTCCTAATGCTCATGAATTCAGACTGAGCTATAGTCTATAGTGTCTTATCTGTCGAAATATTGTATTAATACACTACCTGACAAAAGCCTTGTCATCAATCCCAGCTGTAAGAGCAACAAATAATAACTTGACTTCTAGTTGGATAGAAGAAGGTAGATTTTTTTCTAATGAATCATCTGTTGAACTGCATCCCAATCATCACAAATACTGCAGAAGACCTACTGGAACCTGCATAGACTCAATATTCTCACTGAAATAAGTCAAGTTTGGTGAAGGAAAAAAAATCATGGTTTGGGTGTACATTCAGTATGGGGGTGTGTGAGAGATCTGCAGAGTGGATGGCAACATCAACAACCTGAGGTATCAAGATAGTATAGGGCTCCTTCTCATAATTCAGCCTCCACATCAAAGCTCCTGAAAGCAAAGAAGGTCAAAGTGCTTCAGGATTGGCCAGCCCAGTCACCAGACATGAACATTATAGAGCATGTCTTGGGTAAGATGGAGGAGGAGGCATTGAAGATGAATCCAAAGGATCTTGATGAACTCTGGGAGTCCTGCAAGAACACTTTCTTTGCCATTCCAGATGACTTTATTAATAAGTTTCGAGTCATTGCAGTGATGTGTGGATGCAGTCCTATAAGCTCATGGGAGTCAGACACAATATTCATTCTGTTTCCACTGCACCATGACTTTATATTCTATACTGTACATTATTTCTGTTAAGTGACAAGACTTTTGTGTAAGCAAAGTCAGACCTTACTGTCCTAATTAAATAATTAAAAATCAAAGCATGATCATATTGTATTTTTTAAATTAAAAATAAAAGTGTAATCTAGAGGCCTTTGCCTTTCATATAATCCATTTCTGGGACCAGACGATCAACTAGAAGTCAAATTAATATTTGTTGTTTCTAAAACTTGGATAGACGACAAGATTTTTGTCAGGTAGTGTATACTGACACATTTGATTTTATCTGGTTGTGCTTGGTGTAGTGAATTATAGCTCTTTGTGTCCATATTTAGTTTATTAACCATATAAAATATATAAATTATTTTAACATATAGTTAAACACATACAACAAAATAAGGCAAACCGAAGTGTTTGGTTAAAAGTAATAAGCTCCTGCTCTGCATAATGGCTGTTAATCAAATGCACGACTGTAATGTTTGATTACAGATGTTCTGTAGCTAATATTCAGAACTGTAACAAGAACGTCCATATTTGGGCATATCTAAAAATAAATCTTTGGGTTTTTACCTCATTCTAATCATTTCTGTATATACACAGTATGTACATGTATTTGTAAAACCTGAAATAGGTTTGCTATGTTATGACACGAAAAGCTCTCACTGTATTGCTGTGTCTAAATCATTTTTAAGGCAGCAAAAGATAATTATTTTCCATCCTCAGAGTACCAGATGAGAACGTCCCGCACTTTCCTGCTCAGACCCATGGCAGCCAAACCCAGAGCGCTGCTGGAGCCGGACACCTGCTTCGACTCTGCACAGCAAACAATTCACTCCTTTCAGCTCAGGGGATGCAGATTTGAGATGGATGTGATGATATTATCATGCACTCATTTATACATGCTCTTACCACCATAGTAATGAAGCAGAGCTGCTCCTACAGCCACACTGAAACAACTAATGAAGAAAAACGGGCCTGCGCAATGAAAAACAAAAACAAGCTCATGTATAATTTGTGTTAATTCTGTTTTCACTACTGCATGGTCACCGGACTTACTGTGGTCATTCAGCACATATCTGGTGGTGGGACTGGAGACTGGACTGACTGGATCACCAGATTCTACAAAGAAGAATCAAAGTCAATCAATGTTATAGAGCCATAAGCAAAATGTTAAGACCACAGATAAAGATGACTGATTCTTGCAGAGTTTACCTCTCACAATTAAAGCTTTTCTAATCAGAACTGTAGGATTGATGAATTAGGGATGAATTAAATTTTATGAGCCGAAATACAAAAAATAAATAAATAAAAATTATATATATATATATATATATATATATATATATATATATATATATATATATATATATATATATATATAAAGCCATGATAACAGCACATAATATGGTTGGACGATGTCGACCAATTTGGCATTGTACGATGTCTAATGTGAAACATTGCGATGGACGATTGTATTTTCGTCATAGGCAGAGGTGAATTAATTATTTATGAATAATTAATTCATAATGAATAAATTATTTGTAGCCTACCGTTTCAACTACCTGACCCGCATGGTCTTTGTTTTACCCATAACAAATTATAAATAAATAAAAGATAAGTTACACACAAATTATCACCTGTCAATCACTTTTTCCGTAGGAGGTTGGTCGGTAAAAAAGTTGCACAAGTATCGGAGGTTTTCACTAAAATTACTAAGTACAAGTGTGGAAGTAAAAGACTGAAGCAGTGTACTGACACTGTGACAGGTTACCTGATAGATTCAAAAGAGCAAAGAGTCATTAGATAGAGACAAGATTAATTAAATATCACGTTTAAAAACTATAGTGAGACACGATCCAGTGGTACATCCTTGATAAACTGTCCAACATGCACTGCTCTCTGGAGCTACGAGCGCATGACTGTGCGTGTTCATGATAGAGGGCTGTTCAGAAATGCCAGGTAAAACACGGTGTGGATGTGGATCATTTTCGTTTTAAAATGCCATTTTAAAACTAAAACATTTAAGTGTAAACGGGGCCTAAGTGTATTTTTTGCGAGCGGGGTTGCGGCGGGCGCAGAGGATCGGCGATGCCGGCTCATTGTGTTGTCTATTGGCCATTGTCAAAGAACGATGGCATCGTCTATCAGCCCAACCCTAGCAAATAAAATTTTACTTTAAGATAAGAGTATTAAGCCTAAAGTGACATTTTGGGTGTACTCACACTATGTACAGTTGCCTTGAACTGTGCCAATATATATATATATATATATATATATATATATATGTGTGTGTGTGTGTGTGTGTGTGTGTGTGTGTGTGTGTGTGTGTGTGTATACACACACACAAAGTTTGCTCCTGTGTTTAGCTAAAAAAAATATGAAGACTTTTTAAAATCTGATGTTTAAAATATTTTTTTTATGATTAGGTTAACACCACAACTATAAAACAAAAAATATTTTAAAGAAAACTCAGAAATACAAGACACAAGAACAGAATTACACAATTAAAAAAAAAATTTGAAAATTGAAAAAAAGGCTTAAATTATAAGCCAACAAACTCATAAGTCACAAATGAAATAGAATCAAATAAATAAATAAATAAATATAGAAAATGAATAATAAATAAATAAAATCAGACCTTCTAGATTTGAAAAAAAATCCCCTTATAATTGTGACTATCATATAATTCTGTAAAAAAATATCACAAAAATCAAAACGTCTAGAAAAATATCAGAAATGTCAATCTTAAACTGCAAAATAAAAGATGCAGTAACCTTTATTATTCCTTTTTTCCATAATCAAATCGGCCTTTCATAAAAACACTTTCAAATCAAGCTTAATAACAGCCCTAAATACTTTCCTACAGCCACTGTAAAAGAGAAATGACAATCTCCTCAGCAAAGCTAAACAAGTATCCTGAAAAGAGTGATTGATTTGGGTAGTTTTAAGTGTAAACTGACCTCTGAGCCGAAGGCGTGTGGGTAAGCTGAAGTAAACGTCCTCCACGTGGAGGTGCAGTGCCCTGTAAAACTCTCGACAGGCCTCTTCTCCTTTCTCCTGCAGACGAGACAGCAGCTCCGCCAGCCGGATACAGGTGGGAACATCCAGATCCCGGAACTAATGTTTGGAAAAATCATCACTGGAAACGAGCTTTGCGACTGGACAGCATACAGTTGAAGTCAAGATTATTAGCCCTGCTATGAAATTTGTTTTCTTTTTTTAAAATATTCCCCAAATGATGTTTAACAGAGCAAGGAAATTTTCAGAATACTTCCAACAATATTTTTCCTTCTGGAGAAAGTATTATTTGTTTTATTTCAACTAGAATAAAAGCAGTTATTATTATTTTTAAAACCATTTTAAGGTCAATATTATTAGCCCTCTTGCCTAATTAACCCAATTAAGCCTTTAAATGTCACTTTAAACTGAATACTAGTGTCCTGAAAGATATCTAGTCAAATATTAAGTACTGTCATCATGACAGATAAATTGTTTTCTTTGTTCTTTGTTTCCACCTAGGGATACTTTTCACGAGGCCTTTAGAGATTGTGCAGCTCAATTGATGTGATCTAAGTCCTGTGAAGAGATGATGCCAACCAGAAGACTTCTAAAGGTCTCCATAACCCTGGACCAGGCCGTATCCTGAGCAAATGCTGTGGCAGTCATGGAGGAGTGCCTGCAGCTCTGCACAAGAAGTTTGGCCAGAGAAAAAATGGTCATGCCCAACTGAGCCTGGTTTCTCATGAGTTTTTTTTCCTTCACTTTCGTCAATTGGTGAAGTTTGTTCCTCGCCACTGTCACCACTGGCTTGCTTGGTTTGGGACTTGTGGAGCTGCGCATCAATGGATTTGCTCTTCAGTGTATGGATTTTCAGCAGTGAAAATTAAACCACACTGAACTGAAAACTGGACTAACATAGTATCAATTTACTAGAACTTCTATGGTAAGCTGCTTTGACACAATCTACAATGTAAATGTGCTGCAGAAATAAAGATGAATTGAATTAAAAGAAGTCACTAAAAAATGAGTTTAGAAATGTGTTGAAAAAAATCTTTCCATATAAAAGAAATTGCAGAAAAAAAACTATAGGAGCTATTAATTCAGGAGGGCTAATATTCTGACTTCAACTGTATGTGTATTACTGTGGGTGTAGTTTTACTTTGGAGGCCTCTTTGTCGGTCAGGATCTGTGGGTAGATTCGGTTGAGCTGCAGGATCAGTTTGTCCACCAGTTCTGTGTCCAGACGACGGTCCGATTTCAGGAACCGGCTGTCTATTCGCAGCTGCTCGGAGAAGCTCTCTGTCATTTACAAAGAAGTACTGTCATTAACGTTAGAAGCAACATTTCCATTTTTCTTTTGTTTTACGCCAATAAAAATGCATTCAGGTCCATTTTGATAGGGGAATAATACTGGTAAATAGGGCAGCACAATATATGGTTTCAGCATCGATATCGCAATGTGCGAATCTGCAATAGTCACAACGCAGGATCTGCAATGTCAAGTCGGGATTATAATTAACCAGGAACTACAGTTCAGAGCACATGATTTTGATTGCAAATATTTTTAAAGGAATACATATTTCTTTAGGAAAGAATGATTGTGTTTATTTTAATTGACAATTTTTTGCATTTATGAAAAATTATGGATGTACAATTGGCACTGGTGTGACTTTGGTAAATCAAATATAATTGTTTGAAAACATTGACAGATGTTCATGAGTATGTTTACAGAAAAAAAGTGTAAAAAGCTACACAAAAAAATATGTAGAAAGGGTTTGGCTATTTTGGTAAAAACTTTTTCATGGCAAGGTTGACATTTGCGTGGAATTGCTCAAACATTTAATACCCAAGTATTTCTGTTAGAATAAATGCTGACTTGTTTTTGAGCACTCAATATATTATGAGAAATGCACTACGAGTAAGACATTTAAATGAATCATATTCAGTCCAATGGTGTCAATTATGTAATTATTTCATTCACATTCTTCTTATTATTCTTACAGCACTTTTTCTGTGGTTCGTGTTTACTATGAAATTTCAAAGAATAAAAAAAAATTTGTAAAACTTTGTAAAATAATATGGTAAACATGAGAGCGTTAGCATTTTTAAATAAATTCACTTATTAACTAATCTTAACAGATAAAATATGGTTTTAGTTATAAACTATTTCTAAAATAATTATTCTTTGCATGTATTAAACATTTTTTAATAAATATTCCAGAATATTTTTGTAAATGTAGTGCACATTGGCCATAAGATGGCGCCACGTCATGCATAATAAACTCCAGGACGCATGTCTGTCAAACATAGTTCTGAGGTAAAGTAAAAGTTATTTAAATGCCTTTTAGCAAACAAAGACACTCAATAGATCAATAATACTACACTAAAAGATTATAGAGCTTTTGAAAAACAAATATGAATCAGGGTAGACTTAAAAACAGTGTAACCGAACACTAAAACTGGCGAAGCTAAACTAGTCGAAGAAGCTAACGTTTGTGAACTCCGTGTGCAGGATTCGTGTAAAGCTTGCGTAATAACTTTAAATATGAATGTTTCACGTTATCATCAAAGAAACATGGGGAAAATATAAGTTTGACTGACCTCCCATTGTGAAGTGCCCTCTGCTGTCTTGCGTTCAGAAACGCCCATCGCATTGTGTATGAAGGGCGGAGACCAGCTGAATCACCGGAACTTCCGACCAAAACGAGGAAATAAATAAATTGCATGCGGAAGTTCGCGTAAATACACTACAGTGTATATTTAGTGCATTGTTTAGATTTATTTAACTTAAATCACAGATGAACAACTTTAGTAGCAGTTTAATGAGCGCTATATAGCCTACACTACAACTACAAACACTCACGCTGCAAAGTGTGGCGTAGCTATTGTTGAAATGTAGGGATGAAATGTATTGTTTATAATGTAGGAAATAACTTAGAAGTATATATTAATCTTAAATAAGTTACAACCTTGAATCAATCAAGAAAACAAATGTTATTTATACTTTCACTGATATAGTTTTCTTAAAGAACTCGTTAGGATTTTATGAAAAAAATATTAAATAAAACAGAAAACAATGTATTGTTTTCCATAACCCATACACGAAATGCTTAGCATATTTGATGTATCATGTATTTTACATTGCATTTATATTACAGACTAATTTATAAGTCACCCATCAGAAACAACGTTCATTTCATTGTTTATTGTGCAAGAAAAAAAGGACTTTCTTGCTTTAAAGGGCAAACCTGGAGAAAAAAAAATTGCTAAAATATACATGTCAAACATGCTTACATTTTTGAAGCCTTAACAACAAACAGAAGCATGGTAACAACTAACAAAGAAGTGTGGCTTTCTTCTGAAATTGCACTGGGATAAAATATAGCGTTAGCAGGGTTTAATTATTTTTATATTTTATACTTTTAAATTCATTTTTTTCCCAATATGTGGTAATGTTTTTATAAATTGCTATAAATCATTTTAGCATTAACCCCAGAGCAAAATCATTTTAAACAGCCTTCAGTGTATGGATAATGTGACAGATCGATGGATGGATAGAGAGATAGAACAATAGCTAGATTGATAGAAAGTTAGAACAATAAAAAGAACAATAGGTAGAAAGATAGATAGATAGCTAGATAGATAGATAAATAGATAGATAGATAGATAGATAGATAGATAGACAGACAGACAGACAGACAGACAGACAGACAGACAGACAGACAGACAGACAGACAGGCAGACATAGATAGATAGATAGATAGATAGATAGATAGATAGATAGATAGATAGATAGATAGATAGATAGATAGATAGATAGATAGATAGATAGATAGATAGATAGATAGATAGAACGACAGACAGATAGATAGATAGAACGACAGACAGATAGATAGATAGATAGATAGATAGATAGATAGATAGATAGATAGATAGATAGATAGATAGATAGATAGATAGATAGATAGATAGATAGATAGATGAATAGAACGACAGACAGATAGATGGATAGATAGAAGGACAGATGGATAGAACAACAGACAGACAGACAGACAGACAGACAGACAGATAGATAGATAGATAGATAGATAGATAAAGCAAAGTTGTCAGGATACATTTGAGAATCAGACCAAACTCAAACACACAACTTGAAAAAAAAAAAAACAACATGACTTAAATCTTATTTTATATTAGTTTATTTTATTTTAGCTTTTTTGTCACAAGAAAAAAGATGTTAGGACAGACATGAGCCTATAGATGTGTTCCTCGAGATGAACGACAGAGCACACATTTAGAAAAAAAAAGCTCAACACTGACATCAGCACTGTATAAAAATGTACATAAAAACACAGGTGAGGCAGTATAGCTTGCACTGTACCTGTGAGCTTTCAAGTAGAAATGCAAAAAAGAGGCAGCACAAGTGCCAGTTATAATGCTTATAAACCTAGTCATTAATACTGAAACAATAAGCCATGTTATGAATAAATACAAACATACAAGTGAGGTCATTTCATACAAACGTGTAAAAATAAACTCAAAATACCACATAAAGGTATGGCTTTCAGCAAATAGAAAACTATCATGTGCACTCCAGTAAAAAAATGCACTTAATTTATGGTCAAAAGAACGAAAGGAGGAGAAAAACAAAGAAAAGGTCATTTAAAACGTTACTGTCTTTAATTTAAAATGGCACAAATGTTCGGAGGCAAAGTTTTCTGCTTGCTGAAATTCAAATAATTAGCAAAGTTACACAAAGGGAAATAATGACTAACAATGTCACCCATCATGACCGCCATCACAAATCACTACTTCCTCAAAGGAATGTATGATTTTTATAACAAACCTTACTCATACTAACATTAAAAATCCCCTAAACAAGACTTTCAAAAGCAGTCTTTAAAGGTCCCATGAAGTGCTTTGAAATATGCATTTTTATTCGACGCTTGACATGATCAACCGACACATAAGGAGAGAGTGGGACTGTTTCTCAATATGCGCTCTTCAATGGTCTTGTGTCCTCGTGTTCTCATGTAACGTCATCATCCGTTGCCAAAGTTCAGTTCCAAACTCAAAATCGTAAGAATGGAGGACACGCGAAAGTTCACTGGTGTGTTCTTGATATCGAGGACACATCAACGCAGACTTGAGCACCAAACTTGCTTGAGAAGTCCCAGAAGTCATTGCGGCCAAATAAAGGAGGTGGGAAGCACAACATTTAATATAGATTTATTATTAAAGTTCAGAGAAATAACTTATTTATCTCAGGAGTTTCCCTACATGAGACGGTGAAAGAAACATGAAATCTGTTTTATTTGTATTGTGGAAAGCATATTTGTAAGAGCTTTGTGAATGTTTTTTATTTATATTTATATATATACAGTTGAAGTCAGAATTATTAGCCCCCCTTGAATTATTATTTTTTTATATATATTTTCTAAACGATGCTTAACAGAGCAAGGAAATTTTCATAGTATGTCTGATAACATTTTTGTCTTCTGGAGAAAGTCCTATATGTTTTATTTTGGCTAGAATAAAAGCAGTTTTTCATTTTTTAAGCACCGTTTTAAGGTCAAAATTATTAGCTCCTTTAAGCTGTATTTTTTTCCCGATAGTCTACAGAACAAACCATCATTTTACAATGACTTGCCTAATTACCCTAACCTGCGCGGTTAACCTAATTAACCTAGTTAAGCCTTTAAATGTCACTTTAAGCTGTATAGAAGTGTCTTGAAAAATATCTAGTCACATATTATTTACTGTCATCATGACTAAGATAAAATAAATCAGTTATTGGAAATGAGTTATTAAAACTATTATGTTTAGAAATGTGCTGAAAAAAAAACTTCTCTCAGTTAAACAGAAATTAGGAAAAAATAAATAAACAGGGGGGCTAATAATTTTGACTTGAACTGTATATTAAAAAGGGGGGAAAAAATAAATCAATGTATGAATGCTGTAATGTTTAAATAATTATAATAATAAGGTCATGTGACCATCAGGAAGAATGCAGCATCTCGTTTCTCAGAGCAGGCGTTCAGTGTTATCGCAGTCTCCTGAGTTCGTTCTTCGAAAGTGACCTGGCAAGACCAGTCTTCACAAGAACATGAGTACGTTCTCTGCCTGTGTTTTCTGAATTGAGAAACAGTGTAGCTCCTCCCTTTTTTTTAAAAACAGCCAATAGCACTTTGCTTCATCTCCGCTGGAAGGGGCGGGGCATGTCAGATACTAGAGAGCATTTGATGAGTCACGATTTGATAAGGAAATGAAGTATGAGGTGACGTGAATAAAACAGTTGATCCATTTAGGCGGAGGTGACAACCAGCAGGTTTTATATGTTTGTATCAGTTTTATAACTTCTAAACATGAATTTTGTCATAGCTTATAGATATCTAAAAACTTTATTTTCATTTCATGGGACCTTTAATGACAGCACAAAATAGATGGGCCAAAAAGCCTATATCTGACTGAAAAGACTATGGCTCTTATAACTGTTCTTGAATAACAAAAGCTGAAAGGCACAGGAGGTTTAGGAGAGGGTTATAAAAAACAGATTATCGATGTCTAGAAACAAAAATGTATTGCATTGTAAAATACAAAATGCTGACCGTAATGCAATATTTGGCAAAAAGAAAGAGACAATTATTCCAATTTGGAATTGATTTGTTTGTATGTTTCATAAACGTCTTGAATTGAACACATCCATGACCTGTTATGAAAATTGACTCCTAAATTATTTCCAGGAGCAAGTCTATAGCAAAATGATGTTCAGTAAAGGCTGATTTATACTCGACATGTCTGCGAGTTTGCTTGAGTGCACGCAGCGACTGTCACCGCGGTGTTGGCTGCGGCTCGCTTTGGGCGTGTGTGACATGACTTCAGCTGGCGAAACTCATTAAATTTTTCGAGATCGGAGCAAACAGTTTGTGCAGCGCCGCATGAAGTTTGAGTTGAATCACTTTGAAGAGATTTAGTCTGAAACGGATACACCTGTACAGACATCTTTATGATCTGTCTATTTGTGATCATAGGGAGAATCAGATGACCAATAATTCCTGGCTAGATATTGCAGAGGGATAGGTTTGTTAAAACCTAAAAAAAAAAAAAGAGGCAATGGTGTGGAGACCCTGGTGGTCTAATACACAATTACAGAAATATGTTTATTTTCACCATTCATTTTGAATTTAAAACAATTTAATAGTTACAAAACTATAAGGAACAAAGTATTTCTTTGATAACTGGAAAAGAATGAACCTATCGGTTTACAGTATACTTGTAGCTGACGCTGATCGGTCAGCTTGTATTTTTGGTTGTTTATTGCTTTTGTATTTCATTATTTGAATGTGTATCGGTGTATGTTTAGGTTACAAATTTCTTTGTTTCCGGTTGGCTTAAGTCTGAGGTCATGTGATTCTCCTTGGGACAGTTGGTATGGACAGCATAGTGAGATCTTAATGCAGACACGTGTTAAATGCTCCTGATTATTCTACGGTAAAATAAACTTTGTTTGTGTATTGTTTATTTTAATGTCTTTTTTGATTGTGTTTGTGTGAAACCTTTTCTTGTTTATCTTTTTAGTTTTCACTGTGTTCAATAAATGAAACGCACGGACATCAGTATTTGGGAAGCGTGGACTGTTTAATAACCGGCGGGTAGTTACAATACTGATGTCCTGTTTTTCTAGGCTTTAGTGATTATTAGGCAAGGGACGATAACCGGTTTCAAGCTCTACCACGGTTTGGAAAAGTCAGTTTTAAAACTGGCAAAATATTCTGCTATACCGTTCCTACGGTATATGTAAGTATACGGTATATACAAAAGTCTCTCCAGCAGAAAAGATATCCAAAAGGCTAAAGAAAATCAGTGTTTTTGAAACTAATGAAGACAGCAGAAGTCAATGAATCAATTGAATTATTCAGCCTGACAAGTTTACTGCTCCAAAATATTATAAATGTTTCCTAAAATAAAATATATCGTGTTCAATGGGGGGAAAGTTTTAGCTTTCTACCTAACATTTAAAAAAGAATATATTTTAGAGCAGTAATCACAATACTGTGATATCCGTAATGTTTTTATCCAAGGTTATCACATCATTAGAATCTTATACCAGCCCATGCCTACTGGTGAAAATGGTCAGGAATGTTGGACCATTGTTGCATTTTAAGCATATAACTAGAGGACACAAACTAGCCAAACAGTAATGTGTGAATCATGGATTTGGCTAAATTGGTCAGAATTTTTTAGTAAGTGTGCTTTTTTTTGTGCTTTTATTCTTGCCATAATCAAAAATATAAATTTGTAGAGCAACCCAAGTTCTGTAGACATTAGAACGTTAATGAAGTTAAATAGAAAGAACTGTCCGACATTTAAACAAAAGCAAGAGATGCATTAAAATTTGATTTAAAAAAAATTAAATGATTATAAAAATCTATATAATCATTCAAAAATTTGAAATAATTTATGCAAATTATTAGTTTAAAAGGCAGCATGATGGCACAGTGGTTAGCACCGTCGCCTTACAGCAAGAAATTTGCTGGTTTGAGCCCCAGCTGGCATTTCTGTGTAGAGTTTGCATGTTCTACCCATGTTGGCGTGGGTTTCCTCCAGGTGCTCCAGTTTCCCTCATGCGCTATAGGTTGAACTGAATAAACTAAATTGGCTGTGATGAAAAAAGGGACTACGCCAAAGGAAAATGAAGGAATGAATTATATTAAAAATCTTGAATGATATTAAAGACATGACGTTGTTCCAGAAAATTCCTACTTCAATGTTAATGCATCTGATTTTATGGCCAGTTTCTTTTGACTGCCCCCTGTCATTTAAAAGAATCACTTAATGGCCAACGCGTCGAGTATGAAAGCCTTGTCCATTTGTCCACAAGGTGCACGCGCAGTCAGCGGAGGTTGCGATGCAGCACCAGGCGAAAGTATAAATCAGCCTTTAGAAATGTATGACTATTGAGCAAGAATAAGACACACAGATATAGGCCTATTTAACACACGCGTTCTCCCTGGAATATGCTGGCATTTAAAATACTACAAACAAACAAACAAACAAACGTCCTTATATTATTATTTTTTGTCAGTTAAATACGTAAAATTTAGAAGAACAAAACAAAAATGTGCCAAGTATACTGAAATGTGCATCTGTTACATAAAATGAACTACTGCACTGAAAGTGCACGGTTACACAAAAAACAAAGCAGAAATAAAATACCACAGTAACAGTCAGAATAGAAGAGTACATGAACCATCTGGCTGTAGATGTGAGCCTGTGTTTCCTTGCAGCCACATCCAGGGAAAATGTCCAAACATTGGACCAGGCGTGTGTGTGTGTATTCTGGACGTATAGCGTGTGGAGTAACCATTTGCGGATAATCTCCAGAGCTAATAAAATTACTGCAAAATTGAGAAACAGACAATAATCAGAATCAATGCATCCAAAATATGTGTGTTAAATGATTAAAGCCGATCGCATGAGAACGTTACCGTCAACAATGAGACAGGTTAGACTCATTAGTAGACAGGAAAAAGACATGGAAGACTCAGTCCATCCGGTGCAATGGACTGCGAGAAGCAGAGGACTCACATGCAACATGCCAAAAAGACTAATACAAACTGTTAACCGAGAGATCATGCACAATACAGATTCACTATTGTGAAGACAACATGGAGTATGTGTGTTATGCACACTGAATGCCTAGACAAAAACATACATGAAGTGAAAAACAAAACATTGAAGACAAGTTCTTGAAACAATCTTGGAAAAGATGTGTTATTCTGAGCATACAAATGATAAAAATCTATTTTTAGGGCTGCATGATGTCAACCTTTGCGATATTTTGCTATTCTACGATATACCGTGGGGGAAATAAGTACTGAACATTTCATGTTTTTTCCTGGGAATATAATTTCTAAGAGTTGTTGACATGGAATTGAACCAGATTTTAGTAAAAACCCAAACAATACAAACATAAGACGAAACAAAAACATTTTAAATACGAGTTATGTAATATCAAAGAAATGACACAAGGAGAAAGCAATGAACTACTAAAGCGTATTTAACACTTTAAATAAAAGGCTTTTTTTTGGTGACGGCAGCTTAAGGACGCCTCTCATATGGAGAATGAAGTCACATGCATTGCTCAGGTGTGAGATTTTCACAGACTTCAACAGAGTGTACAGTCTTGATGATTTTGTGGGTCTCATCTATCAAATCTGATCTTTATTTTGTATTCTCTATTGGATTCAGATCAGGTGATTGGCTGGGCCATTCTACAGCTTGATTTTCTTTCTCTGAAAGTATTTCAGAGCTTCTTTGGCTGCATTTTGGATCGTTGTCTTGCTGAAACGTCCACCCTGGTTTTATCTTTGTCATCCTGCTAATGTGGATGTTGGACTGAAGCAGCTAATATTCATTTACAATGAGGAAGGGAAGAGAGTAGCTAAAGAACTATTGAGAGATTTCAGCTGCTGTCTGGGCTTTCATTTTCATTTTTTTTCCTGTGTCACTTCATTTTATTACACATAACTTTATTTGTAAACTAATTAGATTTGTTTTCTTTGCATATATAGATTTCTTTGGTTGTTACCAACATCCGGAGAAAATTTCAAGAGTTTTCTGAGAAATGTTGTGACGTGTTCAATGCTTATTATGATATGAATACAATTTAACCAGATGACTTGAATATTTCGATTTGGAAAGAATGTATTATTTTAGATTGCATAAATTATGAACGATTTACAAGCATGGATAAATATAATAGAGAAAAATATACAAATTACAATATACAAGTTTAACAGTATTCTGGGACAGTATTTGAATAACCAAATCCAAAATCATACCTAATATTCTACATCTTGAAAATATTGAAATAAAATTAATCATTATCAAAGCTGCTATTGGTGAAATTTCAACACCATCACATGCTGCAATGTGATATTGATGCCGAAACAATATATTGTGCAACACTATTTTTTACCAAAAAATTATCTGCAGCATCATTCATGCCCTTTAGGGTTGCAGCCTGGATCGCAAATCTCCCTGGCAGGCTCAGTAAAGTGCGTCTCTGTTGGGATTACACAGATTTATTCCCACTGACACAGAGATTATCAGACTAGCTTTGTGAACCTGGGTTTTACTCAATGACAGTCATTTGACAGAGACATTTGGGTCAGACGTTCACACGATTTAGATGAAGACAGAAGTTGTTTAAAGTGTTTAGACATTTTTGCTCAATAGTTTCCTCGATCCTTGATCACAGATATCTACATTCCTACAAAATAATGCTTTGTTTTTTAGAAATATGTTAGAATTAAATGAATTTTTTTCTTAAAACAAGTAAAATAATCTTGTTTTTGGTTTGAAATAAGAAGATTTTACTTATCCCACTGACAGATAATCATGTCTGAAAACAAAACACGATAATTTTTACTTGTTAAAAAGATGCTTTTTGATTTAAAAATGCTTTTATATTTATAATAATATATTGAAACAAAAAAAATAATATATATATATATATATATATATATATATATTTTTTTTTTTTTTTTTTTTTTTTTTTTTTTTTTGCAGTGCTGGACACAATGTAGTAAGTCATCCAGGAAACCAATGCATACTGTACGTTTGGATAAGCTACATAAAAAGGTATAACAGGTTTCAGAGTATTGGTGCTCATTATTACCAAAAAAAAATGTTAAAAAAAGACCTAATTTCAGTAGAAAAATATTGAAGGTAGCTTATTAACTGTCATAAAACTACAAGATTGATGTTTTTTTTTTTTTTATGAGAATGATCATGATTTTAACCGATAAGCTCTGTAGTAATCTTAAGTGTCCTGCTCCTAGGAGGGAAAATGTCCTGGAAGTTTCTAGTGATTATGAAGACCCTGGTTTGGCCAGAGGAGAAATGGTCGTACCCAACTGAGACTGGTTTATCTTAAGGTTTAGTTTTTTTTTCTTTCACTTTTGTCACTTGAAGTTTGTTTCTCGCCTCTTGGTTTGAGAGTTGTCGAGTTGTGCATCATTGGATTTGCTCTTCAATGTTTGGACTTTCAGAAGTGAAAATAAACCACACAGAACTGAAGTAAACTGAACTAAAACTCTGAAAACTGACCTGACACTGTCTCAGTTTACTAGAACTTTTACGTTAAGCTGTTTTGACACAATCTTGAAAAAGTTTAATTCAATTCAGCTTTATTTGTATAGCGCTTTTGCAATGTAGATTGTGTCAAAGCAGCTTCACATAATTGGTCATAGTAACTGGAACAGTGTAGTTCAGTTTTTAGTGTTTAAGTTCAGTTCAGTTTAGCTCAGTTCAGTGTGGTTTGAAGTCATTATTGAGAGTCCAAACACTGAAGAGCAAATTAATCGATGAGTAGCTTTTCAGATCCTGAACCATGCAAGCCAGTGGCGACAGCGGAGAGGGAAAAAAAAACTTCACCAATAGGAGAGTGAAGAAATAAAAACCTTGAGAGAACCAGACTCAGTTCGGCACAACCATTTTAATTTCTCCGCTGGCCAAAAGTCTTGTGCAGAGCTGCAGTCTCAGCAGTAGAGGCTGGAAGCTTGTCCCTGGACACCTGTAGACTTTAAGCGATTTATGAGGATATTGTGGTCAATGGTGTCAAATGCCGCACTAGGATCGAGTAGAACTAATATATATATATATATATATATATATATATATATATATATATATATATATATATATATATAATAGCGAGATGCACCCTTGGTCAGCAAAAGTGCTAAAGAAATAAAAATTAATTGAATTGAACTGCTAAAGCTTAAAACATACTTCAACTGTCCACATTCTGTGATGGCCAGGAGAAGCGTTGCAGATCCCAGCAAGAAAAAAAATGTAAAACTTTGGTCAAATATGAGGGAGACTGTTTCAGATATGTTTCAATCCTGATTTTGTACCTATTATTGCACTATTACTGTTTTTATTATGTTTTAACAGCCTGTTGGGTGAATCTCAGGCTTTGTTGTTAATAGATCCAAATCTAAAATGTCCAATAAAAAAAACAATTAAAAAAAATAGGGTTGCAGGAACGAGTTGAATTTAGAGTCCAGTATTTTATTGAGGTTAAGTTGAATTTAAATTCGCACATTCATTTGTGACACACTTCCTATATTGTTCACCAGGCTACTTTGAATATTCAGTGTGGAATTAGATTTAAGTGTGACTTCAAAACATTAGCTGCTAATATGATTTTACCATTTAAAATACTTTTCTGAAATTATATTAAGCAGAACGTCTGAATGTGTGAATATAAAACCAACTTTACCTCAGTATGTGGTACTGAACCTGTCAGTCTTAACAGTATATCCGATGAAATCTTTATAGACACTGATGTTGCTAACACGGAAATAAATGTATACCAAGAGCACATCTGTTACAATAGACAAGCATTAATGAAGCTAACATAATTGTTAGCACAAACGCCGACATGCTAGCGTAGCTTTCTCACAAGCACACAAACAGAAAGGAATGCGAGTTAGTGATGACAGAAACACACGAGTGTTAATCAGATCCAGTGTCACACAGAATCTTATACTTCTCGCTGCAGAACACCGCAGGACTTCCAATGAGGCCGTGCGGTTGCGGTCGGTTCTTACAGGGAAGTCTAGGACTTACATGGGGGCTGGAAAACGATAAGGGTCCTCGACCTCGTCCTGACGGAGCCTTCCCACGGCCACCAGGCCCAGCACCAGATCCTCTGCGGGACTGCTCGTTGTCGAACTCCAAATCCTCCAGTCTCTGCGTGAGCGCCAGTTTCTGCTGGATGGCCATTCGCAAGAGAGAGTTCAGAGTCTTCTTTTCATCTTCTGCCGCAGCCAGCTGCCTCTGCATGTCGTCCAACTGTGTCACATACTCATCACACCTGAAGAAGAGAGAGGGAGAGAGGAATAAAACACATTCTCCTGAATAATGTTAGGGTTAGAGATTTAACTGTATTAATATTTCAGGTTTTTATTGATTGAAATATTATCAGGGTATTTTTTGATGACCTGAAAATGTTCAAAAATAAAAGTGACACAAACTTTGTTATTTTTGTATCTGAGAATGAACAAACAATAGATAATATTTGCAGATTTATGCAGTTTTTTACTAAACAACATAAGCATGTTTCCCTGCTTTATTTGTTCATTTATGTTTATTATATGCATTGTGTATTTTTAAATGTACAGATACAAAAACCTTTTATAAAGTGCTGAAAAGGAACATTTTTAGTATGTTATACTTACTTCACTTATTTGTTAGTACTTCTTTCACTTCAAAGAAAATAAAAAGAACTTATTCTTTGCCATAAAATTCTAACTACTGATCATGCACACAAGAGCCTGATAAAAATGCTCAGTTTATAAAAAAAAAACCCCACAGTTTTAGAGGACATTTTTAGAGGTTTCTCCATCTGAACGTTTCATTTGTTTTACTTATTCAAGGCATTGTTTCTTTTTTTAAACTGCACTTGGAATAATCCAAGAGATCCACATATACGTAACAAAAATAGCATAAAGCTGCTTTATTAAAGGCAAAATGGGTTGTGTGATTTGATGTAAATACTTAATTGCAATTTCACTAAATGGCATTCTGATTTGATTTACTTTTGAAGTTTCAGCTCAGTATTTTCAATAATATGCAGCACACACTTTAAATCAAAGGAATGCAACATATGTTAACTGTGTGTATGTATATATATATATATATATATATATATATATATATATATATATATATATATATATATAAACTGTCTGTCTAAAAAGAGATTTACATTTGCAATAAGCTAGTCGTAATGTTACAGGATTTACTGGAGTTATCAAAAACATGATGATCAATCATGGTTTTAATGCTAATGACAATTTGAAATGGTAATACTAACCATCAGCATATATACAATGGTTTTAGATATGGGCCGGTAAAAGATTATGATGGTATGATAACCTTGTATAAAAAGTGCACCGTTTCATGGTATTGCGATTACTGCTCTAAAATAGGTTCCTTTAAATGGCTGGGTAAAAACCCCATTGAATACAATATTTTTTTTATTTTAAGAGACAACATTTTGGAACAGTAAAGATGTCTAGCTAAATGAATTCAAATAAATCCTTGACTTCTACTGTCTTCATTAGTTTCAAAAACACAGATTTCATCATCTGAAAAGCCACGTTTGAATATTTCTTTTCTTTGGATATAAAGTAAACCACTGCACTGGTCAGGACTACGGCATGCTGGGATGTTGGTTTGTGAGCGATTTGTGCTCAAATGTTTGCTTAATCATAGGCTGACAAGAAGCTTTTAATATTGATTATATGTTTTTTTTTCCATCTGCAAATACTGTTGCCTTAAAAAACTAAAAAGTAATAAAAAACATGTAAAAAAAAAAATATATATATATATATATATATATATATATATATATATATATATATATATATATATATATATATATATATATATATATATACTGTAGGAATTGTATAACATCATTTTTTTGCAGTTTTAAAACCTTTCGACTTTTCCAAACCACAGTAGACCTTGAAACCTGTTATCGTCCCATGCGTTTTACCTGAAAACTGGTGATCACCACAACACTAGTTAGCCTACAGTATTCTGGAAGGTATCAGGAATAACAACTGGGTTGGTTATTGCGAGTCAGACAGAAACATCGACACCATACCTGGTGGCGAACATTGCCCTGAGAGAGGAGAAAGTGGCGGCATCTTCTTTAAGAGCCTTAAGCTCATTTCGTAACTTCATCATGGTTTCAGTGACCATGGCCTTTTCATTCTCATATTTGCTCTTCAAGTTTGCCAGGGCGACCTCAGCTGTCTGAAAGAAAAGCAACCATACACCACTGTTCAGAAAGACCATTCATTCTCAATCCATTTGGATGATCTACAACAGGGGTGTCCAAACTCAGTCCTGGACAGCCATGTGTTGCAGATTTTAGCTCCAACTTGCCTCAACACACCTTGCAGGGATGTTTCTAGAAAGCCTATTAAGTGCTTGATTAGCTAGACCAGGTGTGTCTGATTGGGGCTGGAACAAAACTGCAGGACACCAGCCCCCCAGGACTGAGATTGGACACCCCTGCTCTGCAACATACAGTAGGTCTCACGCCCTATTCACACGGGGCTTCAGCGTCAACGCTTGACTGAAGGCGTGTCTGAAGTTAGGGCTGAAGCGATCGTCAGAGCAGCCTCAGCCAATGAAATTCAGTCAGCAATAGGCCACTGTCTAGCTGGTGTATTTGCATACAGTGATCTGATTGGCTGACACTTCCATCGGCTCTTGAAAAGTTGAGCTACTCCCGACTTCTGCAGCGAGCAATGCCTCTGAAGCGGCGCCGATGGATCCACAATGCAGTTCGGCAACGCCTGATGTCACCCATTCAAAGTGATTAGGAAGCGTTGATGCTGACGCCCCATGTGAATGTGGATTCAAACTCAGCTGATCCAAATAATCAAGGTGTTCAAGAGTAGTCTTGAACACCTTGATGAGTTAGACCAGGTGTGCCTGATTAGGGTTGGAGCAAAACTGTGCAGAGCTGCCGTCCTCCATTGAGTTTGAGACCTATGTCCTACGACCAGCTCAACATTCTGACGTCATTTACATTCATGCCAAGGTAATCTTTTTTACTCTCACCTGCTTGTTGGCCTTGAGCACAGTCCTGAGTGTGGCAATCTGTTCACGCTTGGTGCTCAGTAAGGACTTGAGCTTCAAAATCTCCTCCATGCAAGCAGCTTGGTCTTTATCCGCAACTGCAGCCAACTCTAAAGAGGCGACTCTCTGCCGGGACAGTTCTGTGGTGCGGTCCACAGCCTTCTGCAAGTGGCGTATCTGATCCCGAATGATTGCAACCAGGTTGTAGACGTCCATCGGTTCGGGACGTGGCTCTTCTCTGTCAACAGGGATTGAGTTTGACCTTGACGTCTGGGCTTTACTTTCATTAGTTTGCGTTAATGTAGACTGCCGATCTTTAGTTTCCGTCTTGCTTCCTTTACCCTCTTTGTAAAAATCGAGCATGACACGATTCGGGGTTTCATTGTTGCACATGCAGACATGATGGTAGAGGTTTGCCAGCTCTTCGCTAAATGCAACAAGCTCATCCTGGGCGACACTGAGACTTCCTTCGGTCTCGCCTGCAACTGCGCTCACTTCCTTCAGTTCCTTTTCTAGCTTAGCGACTTTATCACGATCTGTACGACTACTGTACTCCAGTTGAGACACTTGAATACTAAGGTCACGTACATGTCCCTCCAGTCGCGTTCGTACTTCCTCATGTTCGGTTTTCATCTAGAAGAAATAATCAATTTATTATTGAAACATAATGACAGAGTTTCCACTCTAAGTGTCAATTCTCAAATTCCCTGACTTTTACTGAGCAAAAAAGGCTGAATTTCCTTGACCTGTAATGAACTGAACAGGAAAATGTCTCTTATCATCTTGTCTCCTTGCATCCTTTTCAGAAGTTAGATTGAATTGTTTATTTAATTCAAGGGCCTGGTTATTTTTTCAGTAAGCCTTTAGCTTTGATACAACATTAACTAAAACATTTATTGTATTAAAACATTTATTTATTTATAAACATTGATTAATTTACACGCATGTAAATGTGTTTAGATACATGACTAAACAGTTGCAAAGGCTATTTGTTTTTTTTTTTTTCAACTTGACATTTCCAATTCTGTCAGTGACCACTTATGCTACCTAATAACGCCTACATTTTCTATATATATATATATATATATATATATATATATATATATATATATATATATATATATATATATTTTTTTTTTTTTTTTTTTTTTCCTAGCTATATTTTTTTATATTTATATAGCTATATTTTCTGCAAATACTATGTTAACTATAACTAGCTAACATTATATCTACATGCACCCTTTTTTCTGATGACCTGTACGGCCAGTTGACAAGTGAGAAGGAAAGAAAGAAATGACTTTGGAAAAATAGCCTAACCATAGGTAAAGAAAAAATATGCTAAACAAATGAAACATTGTGTTTAAAAAAAAAACATTAGAAGAATTACATTTTGATAACATTTCTTGTAAACTTGTCTTGTAAAATTGTAAAAAAAAAAAAAATAAAAAAATAAGGTAAATTGTCTTGTTAACTTGCCCCTTTGTTTTCTTTTCTGTTTGGTTCCACACGTGTTTTTGAAAGTGCTTTATAAATAAATGGAGTTGAGCCAAGTTCATTCATTAATTCAGCGTAATCCCTTATTTATCAGAGGTCACCACAGCGGAAAGAACCGCCAACTATTCCACCATATGTTTTACACAGCAGATGCCCTTCCAGCCGCAACCCAGTACTGGGAAACACCCACACACACTCATACACTACGGCCAATTTTACTTACCCAATTCACCTATATAGCAAATGTCCTTGGACTGTGGGTGAAACCGCAGCACCCGGAGGAAACCAACTCGAATATGGGGAGAACATGCAAACTTCACACAGAAATGCCAACTGGCTAAGCCGGGACTTGAACCAGCGACCTTCTTGCTGTGAGGTAACAGTGCTAACCACTGAGCCATTGTGCCGCCTGCTTAAGAAAAGTTGATAAATGGAAAATAAAATAAAATTTAAAAGAATCCCTGATATTCCATGACTTCAACCAAAAAAGGTGACTTTCCCAGACTTATTATATGTCTGGGATAGACTTTTTAAAATTCCATCATAAAACACATGACCCACAGGAACCCTGTGAATAGTACTAAAAAACAAAAAACGATTTTTCTCAGTCCAACTCACCTCATCATGCTCCGACTTCAGTCCCTTCAGCTCCTCCCTCAGTTCACCTGCCTCTGCTATGGCCACCTCATACTTGCAGCGAAGTATTTCTGGCCCATTGATGTCCAGCTCATAATAGTCCACATCGTTGTCCTCTCGACTGTCCCGCTCTCGCTCACTGTCCAGGGCCGACTGTCGCTCCTTGCCGGCCTGCAGTCTCCGCATTGCGCCCAAATCATCGCTAAGTCTTGTCATAGCTTCCTGCTGTTCAGCTAACGCTCCTCGAGCGTGCTCCAACTGCTTCTGAGAGTCCTGTAAAGTGGTGAGAAGAGCGACTTTCTCCCGCTCCACCTGCAAGGAGAAATAGAGGCAAATAATCATCAGTGAGGTTGGTCAAACAGACAGACTCTCCAGGATTTTGCAGGGATATTTTTTTGTGTATACAAATGAAGTCAGAATTATTAGCCCACTGTTTATTTTCCCCCTCAATTTCTGTTTAATGGAGAGCAGAGTTTTTCAACACATTTCTAAACATAATAGTTTTAGTAACTCATTTCTAATAACGGATTTATTTTATCTTTGCTATGACGACAGTAAATAATATTTGACTAGATATTTTTCAAGACACTTCTATACAGCTTAAAGTGACATTTAAAGGCTTAACTAGGTTAATTTTATTTACTTTATTTATTTATACAGGGACAATGTACAACATGACATGTTGTGCCAGAGTTAGCTATAAAGCTAATTTACATCTGTAGTCCCTGGGCAGGAAGTAACAAATTTAACACTTATAACAAATACAATATACTTTTACAGTACAATAAATACAATACATCATTGTCAATAAAATGAAATCAAATCAGTGGCTGCATATTTGATTTTGTTTTAGCCAGATTTTAAGAACAGTTTTAAAATTATTAAAAGTGCTGCTCTCTCTGATATACACTGGTATTTTATTCCATCTTTCTGCTGCTTTAACTGAAAAAACTGATTGTCCAAAAGCAGTTCTCTTAAGTTTAACTGAACAATCACCTCTAACAGATGACCTAGTCTGTCTTATATTGTCCTTGCCGACAATCACACATTGTTTGAGGGGTGGTGGTGCAAGACCATGAAATATTTTATACATTAAATACACATCAGCATAAAATAAGAAACTGTCAAATGTTAGTAATTTTTGTTGTGCAATACAGTTGCAATGATGATAGCTCCCTATCTTTTTAGCTAAAATTTTAATAGTTTGTTTATATATAACATACATTGGTTTTAATTTTGTAATGTTCGTATGCGACCAGCTTGTAGCACAATAAGATAAATGAGGTAAAATCATTGTATTCATAAAAAGTTTTAGGCAATTAGGCAAGTTTGGTAATTAGGCAAGTTATTGTATAACAATAGTTTGTTCTGTAGACAATCAAAAAATATATATTGCTTAAGGAGGCTAATATCATTGACCTTAAAGTGGTGTTTAAAAAATTAAAACTGCTTTTACCCTAGCCGAAATAAAACAAATAAGAATATGACCATTATAGGAAATACTGTGAAGTAGTGTTGTCCAGGAACAGGTCCGGAACAGATAGGGGCAACAGATCTGGCATACTACCCGAGGATGTAGAGGTGTTGCGCACGAAAGTGGAGGGCTGTCGTGAAATTAAGTTAAGACACTGGGCGGGGTTGGTTGTCGCGGACGAAAGTGAAGAGAGTTGGGGAGTCGCGGAACAAAGTGAAAGTGAACAGTGGACGGGGGAGGAGGGCGGGTGAGTAGGGAGATTGGTAAAATGAGGTGCTGGATCAGATTTCAGAGGTGCCGGATCCAGCGTGTTCCGGCACAAATTAATCCTTGGTGTTGTCACAGTACTGGAATTTGGTAATCGATACTTTTAAAAACGTCAATTTCCTGCTAACATTTGAGTGCCGTTGAGCGCATACTTAAACAACGCTGATTTGCCATTGTGTTCACAAGTTCAACAGTGGGATGAGTGGGATTTAACGTGAAGCCGTGAAGGTCATTAGTTCACCGAACTCACTGCTGTTTATGGAGTTTAACCACAGATACAGGGACACTGGAGTCTTTTTAAAGCTGCGAATCATCATCAGATGTCAGCTTATAGACAAACCAGCTGATCGTCATGACTTTAAAACGCTCCACTTAACCCCTACTCTTTTCGAAGGACATCCTGAGATAGTAACGAGCACCAGAACCTCGGTTTAACGTCTCATCCGAAAGACAGCACTCACCGAGCAGTATAAACTATATTCACTATACTGGGGCCTTAGGACCCACACATAGCAGAGGCTGAGCGCCCCCTGCCAGCAACCTAGCTTTTCCATGTGGTTTCCCATCCAGGTACTATAGGCTGATTTATACTTCTGCGTCAAGTGCACGTGTATGCTACGGCGCAGCCTACGCGTGGACGCATAGCCCCCGCCATGGCCTCTCAAAAAATGTAACTACACGTCACAACGACGCGTAGCGCAAGCTCAGTGATTGGTAGCGCTGATGAGTGTGGGCGGACCGAGAGCTGCGCGAGTCTGTTGGAGCGAGTGTTTACAAGTGTCAAGTCCCGTGAAGGACTTGTTTTGTGTTTACCTTATGGTTAAAGTCGTTGCACATCCGCCGGTTCCTGTTTCAAAATTAGCGAGTTTGAACCACTTACATTAAGGAAGACACCAGCGAAAAAACTAAACACAGACGAACAAACACATCACTACCAACTAGCGTTTAGGAAGTGTTATTGCAGAGCAACAGAAACAGCGCGCAAAAGTATGAATGCACAGCTACGCGCATTGCATGGGCCAAGGGTCACGCCGATCACTTGACGCAGAAGTATAAACCAGGCACAGCCCTGCTTAGCTTCAATGGGCGAGGGAAGGGAAGGATCGGCAAAGGACCTCAAACCAGGAATCGAACTCGGGTCGCCATGAGCACCCTGATGCTTTGCGTCTATGCGCAGGCCACTACGCTACTCGAACATTGCCAGTATAAGATTCTGATGGTATTATAACCTTGGACATAAATATCACGGTTTCACTGTATTGAGATTACTGCTCTAAAATATATTGTTTTTAAATGTCTGGATAAAAAAGAAAAACTTTTCCCCTTTGTACAAAGTGTAATTTAATTTGGGAAAAATGTTAAGTATTTTGGAACAGTAAACATGTCAGGCTAAATATCTCAAATGAATCATTGACTTCTGCTGTCTTCATTTGTTTCAAAAACACTGATCTCTTTACAATTTAAAACGGCATCTTCTGAGATCTTATCTGCTGCAGATACTGCTGTCCTAAAAAACTGAAAAATAAAAAGTTAGGAACGGTATTACAGAAAATGTTGACGGTTTTAAAATCTTGACTTTTCCAAACCACGGTAAACCTTGAACACGGTTATCGTACCATGCCTAGGTTATAGTTAAATGTTATTTTTAAAAATACAACTGAACTGTATTAGTTAACTAAATTTAATAAAACAATTACGACTATTGATTTTAATGCGTTATTATAGGCTTAAACTAAAAAATGGAGCACCTAAAATAAAATAAAAAGATTTTGTAGCTGTCACTATATTGATGTTAGTAAATTAACAGATGCTACTAATAAAAACTTGCATAAAGGCCTATACATAGTCACAGAATTTGTCCATTTAATAGGCCAGATTAATGTAAAAATGTTTTATTTTAAATATATATATTTTTTAAATAAACCTGATTAATTCAAAATTTTAACTCTAAAATCTTAACTCTAAAAGTTTTAGTATTAATTAAATACTCATGGTATTATGAAGTGCTCATGATATCAATATTGTGATATACTGACTTAATAAATTACTGAATATTGACATGTCTAATCTAATCATGTGTCCTAAAATGACTGATTTGTATGCCATTATTTGCTTCATTGTTTGAGATTTGCTGTAAAATTTCATTTTTATCTAATTTTAAATCGTTTTTAATATATATTTTTAACAAGAACCATTGGACTTGAAGCCTGCATTTGTAGAATTGTACATTAGCATACCTGTAAGAGCTGTTGCTTGAGTTTCTGGATCTCAGAGATGTTCAATTCGGTCAACAAGTCATCTACCAGACTTGGTGCGGGACGGAAATTTTCATCTCTCTTGGGTGAAGACAATCTGTTATCTTCATCATTACCTTCACAGACTTTAGCAAATCCGTTTTCAAGAGTCAGAATGGCATCGTCATTATTAGGTTCATCTGCACTCAATTTGAGTCCGTCCAATGAGCTGGCGAGAAGGGAGTCTCCCAAGGTCATGTGATGCGTCAGCTCTTTCCGAAGGGCTGCTTTCTGCTCCCGTTCGGTCTTGACGGTTTCTAGAGCCTCCGTTAGCTGACGATCTGCGATTTCCCGTAACCGAATGGCATCCTCTAGTTGGCTGTTTAAGTACTGCACTTCCTCTTCCAATCGCCGATTTTCATGTTTGAGTCCCTCGAACTCCACCTTTGAAAGAGGCGAAAGATTTTTAAGCCAAAACAAATACAGCAATTGTACACATGCAACTTTGTGGAAGTTAATCAGAAATTTTCATGCATCCACAATAGCCCCTTTTACACAGTGAAATTGGTAAATATCCGGAAAATTTCAGGAACAACTTTACCGATAAATTAATAAAAGGACGTTACGAAATTTTCTGGAAAACACTATTCACACATCCTTTCCAAAATACCAGTAAATTCTGACATAATTAACCAAAAAATGAACACTAAACAGCCACGCTTGTATATTTAAGCATGAAAGGGGGCTTTTGTTGATGGTTTCACTTTTATTTATTTACTTATTTAGCATTCATGCAGTTGCTTTGTCCCAGACACATTCAAAGGCAGAAGCGCTAACTGCAGCTAAAAACACCTTTGTTCACACATTATACATTACATTATAAATTCTGTGGTTGGATAAGTATCATCGAAGCTCATCGAAGCATTCGCGTCTCGCAGAGCTGACAGGTAAACTTACAGCAGTTTATCATAAGCATTTTATAAATGGCATTAAGTTGGCATTAAGAAGAAACACAGAAACATTATCTGACTGACAACTAGCAGCTAAATGTGTCTGGAAAAGGATTTAAAGGCTGTCATTTTCATAAACGGCGCAGATGTGAATACATCTGAATGTTCTGATTGGCTGGAGAAGACGTCATGAACATCGACGCGTTCTAAATATGAAGGTGTTGCTTCCGTCAGTTTTACTTCTGCTTCCACAAAGAGCAGCATTCTGGGAAATTAATGGTAATGTCAAAACTTCTCTTTCTGAAAAATTGGAGGAATGAATATACCGAAATTTTCAAAAAGGGGCTGTTCACACACAGTGTTGTGGAGATTACTTTGGAAATGTAGTAGATTACAAATTGCTCTAATTAAAATGCAATAAGTAGTGTAACTTTTGGATTACTTCATAAAAGTAAAGTAACTGATTACATCTGATTACTTTTAAGTTTCTAATAGATATTTTCAACCAAATCATATTCAAGCTTTTATACCAAGCAGGTGTGACCTTACAGTAGTCTAGGGCAGTACTCACACTATGTACAGCTGCCTCGAACCGGGCCAAAGCACGCTTGTCCCCCTCCCATCTCCTCCGACGGCCCGCACTCACATTACAATCGGGCATCGGCACGCTTAAGTCATCGATGCTGCGCTGTTTAGTGAGTGCTCTTGCTCAGCACAGTGTAGATTTCTCAAGTTATATTGTTTTAGTCGTTTGATATGCAGTGACATGCAGTCAAATATTTCGCCAAACAGTCCTTAGAGATGGGGTGACACAGCAGTCAGATATTTTGCTGAACAGATTCGCCACTTTTGATGCTCATAAACAATCATAAAGCCCTCGTGCAGCAGGAATGGGGAGGTTTGCTGAAGGTGAGCAGCTGTCGTGCGGTGAGGGGTTTGCGTCTACTGAACCATAAGAATGATTAATAAATCCATATGAAACAGCCCCTTAAAAAGTCACATATCGCTTTCAGTTTCGGGCTTTGGCGCATTTGCACTCACACACAAGCGAACCTCGCCAAAGCCCAAGTGAGCCCGATTCAGCACACTCACACTTCTCAAACGATCCGGGAAACGGGCCTGGGCACGGTTCGGATAGCATAGTGTGAGTAGGCCCTAAGTCTCTGTTTATTGTAAGAATTTCAAAATCTTTCATCACTTGAATTAAAATTATATTAATTTAATATTAAAAGTACAACCACCACAAACCAGACGTTATAACAAAAACATTGTTTACTGTTGTAACAAAATAAAAAGTGTTGTTAGTTGTGCAGGGTGATTTTTGTGGCATTTGCAATAAAAAAATTCTAAGCTATTTTTGCTATTTTCATTTTTAAATCGAAGCCACCTTAATCCAAGTCATACATTTCTAATGGTCCGGTAGTAAATTCTAATTTAAATGTAATACCTACTCTAGTAGGCGATTTCAGATGTAGCTTTAGTGTTCTGTTTGGCATGACATTAAACTACACGGTTGAGTGTATAAGTATATAGTTTGGTAAGCAACTATGCTTGATTTGTTCATTGTGGGACTGAAACCTGTAACCTTTGAATTGCTATTGGTGAGTTTTGGCTCCACTGTGATCAATATTACTAACCTGACCCTGTTTAAGGGTGGAGACTTGTTTCTGCAGGCTGATGTTCTCCTCCTCCAGTTCAGTGTAGTCTTGCAGCAGACGAGACTCTCGGATCTTGTACTCTCGGATATCATCACGCAGACGACTGCGCTGGAGCTCCACAATCTCATTATTCTTGAGGAAAGAACAAAAGCAAATTGAGACATGAATGAATTGTTGTGTCAATAATTATTCAGGGATTAAATTATTATTGACAGACCTATAAAAACACCTTGATGATTCATTAAGCATGGATGATGCTACTAGGCAGATAGCACTGGAGAGTTTTTAATGAACTCATGCAAAGTCTGTTTGTAGGAGTTTATTAAAACTCTCCAGTGCTATCTGCCTAGTGTTCTTATGGTAAATAAATATTTGAATAAATGTGAAAGTGACTGCAACACTAGAGAGCACTATTGACCTGTTGCATATTAGTCATTGCTAAATAAATAATCAAATTAATCCTTGATTTTTTGCAATCCTACTAATCTTTTATTTAGTCAAACATTTTTGTGTTGGACAAGGATGCTTGTGGTTTCAGTGAAAATGAAAATTCTGTCATCATTAACTCACCCTCCACTTCTTCCAAACCTATCTGAGTTTCTGTTGAACACAAAAGAAGATATTTAGAAGAATGTTTTGAAGATTTCTATACTATTTTTTTTGTTCCTATTATGGATGTTAACGGCTGCTGGTTTCCCACATTACTCAGAATATCTTGTTTTGTGTTCAACAGACATAAAGTCATAAGATTAAAACAACTTAATTAGGATGATTTTATGCATTGTACTTGGAATTGTATGCATATAAAAGCCTATTAAAGCCTATTTTCCTATTTTAAAGAAAATATTTGTAGGATATTACATCTAATGCTGCATACGCCTTGACTGCAGCTCTACACAAGATGTTTGGCCAGATAAGAAATGGTTGTGCCCACTGAGCCACGTGCCGCCGATCATTATATTACTATACTGTGATGGTACTACTGTGATTTTGAGGAATTTACTAATAGTGATCTGAGTTTTTTGTTTTGTTTTGTTTAAATAAAGGCAAAAAAGAAAACAAAACTACTTGATTGTGAGTAATTTCTGAGGTGGTACTTGGTGAAAAAAGTTTGAGAACCACTGGCTTAGAAGAAAACAAAGCTTGAAAGAATAAACGACGTGGTTGTTTTTAGTGTTTAAACTAGTCTTTCTCCAACCAGGAGTACGCAAACTAACATTTTCCCATTTTGCCGTCTGTTTCGCTCTATGGTTTCGCTACATTTGGAGAGCGTCATATCACCTTCCTGCGTTTGTTGCAAACAGAGTGACATCACTCAGACAGACACGCCCCGTCCTGAACCAATCACGTGGATCGAGCACGACGTTGCTAATATTAGGAGCAAAATAAATATATTTATCCTTTTTTGAGGTCAAACACTTTAAACAATGCTTAAACAAAACTTAAGACCTCGTAAAAACACAATTAAGACTTTTTAATACCTTTTAAGGGCCTTCACTTCCTCATAATTGATTCATTAACTTTTAATACTTTAAGACCCCGTGGACACCCTGTATTACTGCTTGATTAATAAAAACAATGTGCAAGATCATTGCACAAACTGTTATATTTTCATTAATTAATTAATCATTATTTCATTAATTTAAATAAATAAATAAATACATAAATAAATGAATAAATAAATGAATAAAATAATGATTAAAAGACTAAATAAATACTTGCATACATGAATTAATTATTGAATGGATGAATTAATCAATTACAAATAAATAAAACAGGGTTTAAAACAGGATATGGATCATTTTCATTGTAATAATTGATATTACCAATGAATCTTTTGAATCTAATAGTATTTACCTTGGCAAACAAAACTACTTGATTGTGAGTAATAAGTGAGGAAATTTACAGTTTTGATTTCTTTTATGAGCGATTTTCATTTTTGGGTGATGGAAACGTGGAAATCGATATTCCTAAATAATAGCTTAACATTTCATTGGAGGAGCGATCCACTGGCTTTAGTTTGTATTAGATAAGTATTACAATTAGTATTGTACTGTATTACTTGTATAATTATTAATATTTTTGTACTTGTAACTTTTTTTCAAGCAACATTTGCTGTTGAATACATTTTATGTGGTGGCATTCACAGACCTCTCTCAGCTCGAGGGCAAGGGTGGCCAGGCGCTCGTTCTCCGCCTGGGTGCCGGTGAGGGTGTTTTTAGCTTGTCGTAGGTCCGACTGCAGCTCCTGCACCCTCTGCTCATAGTACGCCTCTTTAGATGCCGACTCCAGGATGAGCGACTCCTCCCTGCTCTCGCCGTCCGCAGCCACCTTTCTGTGGGTTGAGTGAACCTGGCCATAGGCCTGTGGGAACATGATAGGAGAGAGATTGAGGGTTAAATTCTGTAAAAAGTCTAGTAAGATCTAGCTCTGTGGTTTACAAGCTAATTACTTGTCTTGTAGGGTGGAGGATGGATGGGGGTGGAGGTTTGAAGTTTAAAGCACTTGTACAACACTACTAAATGGATGTTATGGAATGTACAGTCAAACCAAATGTTATTCAGACACTTCAGAAACAAATTTACAATTAAATTTACAATTATGATTACAGCATACGAGTGGATCTCATAAAAATATTCAACACATTAATGCAGTATGACTGGTGTTTCCGTCTGGTCCGCGTCCTTTATAAACTCTAAAAACCGACCACACGTAAAGCAAAACCGTGTTAAGCTGCTCATGTGTTGTTTGCCAAAAAAACGGCCAAAACAACCCTCGACCAATGTCCATGTTCGGTCACTATAAACTTTGTTTACGCCATGTACACCACAGCTCGAATTTACCGCGCTCACCAACAACAATAACAACTCTCCCCTGCGTCACTACCAGTGTGTGGTACATTCCACGTCAATTCCGGTGTGTGGTACATTCCCTTTCCGTAAGAAATCTGTAATTGTAAATTTGTTTCAGGATTTGTAAAAGTGTTTTGCGTCTTGTTAATTTGTTTTCAAAATGTAAATTTGTCTCAAGCTTTGTAAAATTGTTTCAAACTTTGTAATGTTGTTTTGCACTTCCCGGCCACCGTACTGGTCATATATCATTGCAAATTTCTAAACAATTAAACTGAACATGAGAGAAATTTGGATGGGGTTTGAATAATTTTAGGTTGACTTCACTGGGCAGAAGTTAAACCCAAGGCCTTTTATTTTGGGTTCTGATTTTCAAAGTAGTGGCGTCACTGATGTTTTCACACTGCATGACTATCTGGGCTAGCGTTTTGTCGTTGCTTTGTTTACACTGTAAGATGGATCGGCGACAGGGGCTTTCATGTTGCTTGACTTTACAACAGGAAGAATCGCAGACGACTTCGACCAAACTACGTCTCACAGCGATTTCTCAAAACCCCTCGGCGAGTCAAAATCAGGGCTAAAATTATGCAGTCTGAACTCGGCACTACTCTGAGATCCAGGACTTTCAAGTTAAATCCATTATTCAGATTTGCACCAAAATTCAAACAGAAAATGAAGATGTCTTTCCTTTTATCAGGAATTTGTAGGATGCCAAATTTCAGGATTCCCACACTGTCGCTTGACGCATGTGACTCATTGTGTAAAATTCAAAGATGCATTTCCTGCAAACTGATGATGTAACCGGCTGGAGACAAAACTAGCTGAATTCTGTCCAAGAGCTCTTTTTATCAAACACTTCATCTCCTTTCTCGCTGCGTGCCCGTCTGAATGATGTCATTGGCATGCTTGAGCCTGACCGAGCTGCCACACACACACACGCATGCAACCATGGCAGCACAAGGCATAAATGTTAGCAGCTCCATTAGTGCTGGTGGCATAAACGAATGCCCAACAGAAAGACAAGCAGGGATCAACGATGATGCACATCAATGCAAAAGCCTGACCATTTCAAGAGACTAGAAGCAAGAGACTAAAACATTATTTGTTCAATAAAATAGGCGACAGTTATCATGCATTCCAGTATAATTGTCATTCAGTGTCACCTCCACCACATTTGAAAAGATAGGATGCTAGGACGAAAAACACAATTGTAACAAATGAGATATTTTTTGTTTTTCTTCTGTTGCGCTCAACAAACAGCCAAATGAACAGAGAAGGGTCTCATGACCTTAGGGTTAACTTCACACCTTTCTCCAAATTTCAGGAGGTAAAATATTGACACTTAAGCATGACCAAATAACCAGAGAAGGGTCTCCGGACCTTAAGGTTAACTTTCTCCAAATTTCAGGAGGTAGAATATTGACTCTAGATAATCATGCTGACAATACAAACCTCAAATTAGTGCTTTGCAATCAGAAATAATGTGCAACTAGCTGAGAGAGGAGGTGGGCCTGATCAACTCACACTTCTCTCTTACCTATTAGGCCGAACTTTGGCCAGCACCCAAATTTTGACTATAAAGGTGAGGGTTTCTTGCTGAAACATTGGAAGCTCAGCCGTGGGATAAGCGCGCATCGCCCGGCATTCTCGGACACACGTGTTGGTTTTCCAATGTGACTGCCACGGGCTCCCCATTCTTTGAAGAGGAAAATAATGGCACGTCTCTGGGGTTGTATATACTTGTATCAAATTGCTTGAAGTTTTCATTATCTGTCTTTTATGCATGTAATCTCATCTTTATTTCGCATTATAAGCCTTTTATGCAATTTTGTTGTATTTTGATTAATGATGGTTATGAGGATGATTCATGATTATTGAATATTATTGTGATAATTGATATCAGCTGTGTGTACCAGCAATAAACAGTTGTATTGCTTGATTAGTATGGTGTATGGATCATTATTGGTGCCTTCTCTTGTCGATTAGCACCACACTTGTCTCACTTGCATAAACACATACCATACTAAAACCTTTTTGGTATGCTGAAACATTTTACATACTAAAATTTTGGGCATACTAAAACAACAATGGAGAAAATAGTGGAATAAAACTCCTTTGTATAAACTTTGAATGATATCTATTTTATAGCAAGCGTTTTAAGCATCATTAAAACACACAATGATAACATTTTCACAGAAGTCAAATGGCAAAACTGACTGAAATATCAATCAGTTTGAAATCAAGAGTTGAATAAAGCTTTTCTAATCTGATGGAGAAGACATGTAAACACTTAATCGAGTTGAAAACAAAAACTGGAAAGCTTTGTGCACATGGATTGCCATTAGAACAGTGTAATGACATTTCATGCAAGGAAGAATTCTTTTTTTTTTTTAATCTGATTTTGGCCAAGCAAATGGATGTTATTATATCCGCAGAAATCCTAAAGATAATTTCAATAGCTTTTTAAGACTTTTTATAGACCTTCTCAGAATATTTTAAGACCCGATCGCCACTTCCAGTTCTAATCAGTTTCAATCCTTTAACTTAATAACCAGTTGTTTATAAACTGTAATTAAATAAATCAGTGTAGCACAATCATGCAACAGAACTCGGATAAGCTTAGAAGAGTGGTTCTCAAACTGTGGTACGTGTACCACTAGTGGTACACAGGCTTCCTTTAGTGGTACGCGGAGGAATGAAATGTCATGTACATGCTACACACATTTAAAAATTTATCAAAAATGATGGATATAATATGCCACATATAACATATAGCAGGGCTCAACAATAAGGACTGCCCGGTGGCCCGGGGCCAGTGTGAAAGACACTCGGGACAGTAGACAGGATTGTTACTGGCCCCTATCGGCCAGTAATGTTGAGCACGTTTTTTTTTTTTATGTTTTTGTTTTTGTAACCTGGTAACAACCCATACAGCGAAAAGATGGCAACATGGCGGCAAAATTAAACAATGAGGCTAAAAAAAATGACTTTTTCTAAAGTCTTAGAAGCAGACAACTACATGGGAACAAAATTAAGAAACTGAAAAAAAAAAAAAAAAAAACAGTTGTCAGTTTGGCAAGCCATTTTTATAAAAGAAATATTTAGAATTGCATTAAAATACCAGCACATGTTTCATACTGCTCTTTCATTTGCATAAAATCTTGAATTTTGTTCATTATACATTTATTATCATATTTAAAATGTTAAAATTCTAGATTCACAGGCATAATTTTGCCATTATTTAAAATATGTGGCTAAGAAATAGCTATTAACTTTTTAGTTTTTTTTTGGTGGGGCCAGTGAAAATATTAGCAGGGCAAGTGAAAATCTCAACCAATGGCCTGATCGGACCCGTATAAAAAATCCTTAGCGTTGAACCCTGTATAGCCTATATTTCTAAGGTAATCTGCCACGTTTTTTTTTTTAACTGTGCAGAGTTGTAGCTGCTTTATTGGGCCGACTACGCTACTGTATTTCAATACTGCTCATTTTGGTGGTACTTGGAGAGACTATTTTTTTCTGAGGTGGTACTTGGTGAAAAAAGTTTGAGAACCACTGGCTTAGAAGAAACAAAGCTTGAAAGAATAAACTACACGGTTGTTTTTAGTGTTTAAACTAGTCTTTCTCCAACCAGGAGTACGCAAACTAACATTTTTCAATTTTGCCGTCTGTTTCGCTCTATGGTTTCGCTACATTTGGAGAGCGTCATATCACCTTCCTGCGTTTATTGCAAACAGAGTGACATCACTCGGACAAACACTCCCGGTCCTGAACCAATCACGTATATCGAGCACGACGTTGCTAATATTAGGAGGAAAATAAATATATTTATCCTTTTTTTAGGTCAAACACTTTAAACAATGCTTAAACAAAACTTAAGACCTCGTAAAAACACAATTAAGACTTTTTAATACCTTTTAAGGGCCTTCACTTCCTCATAATTGATTCATTAACTTTTAATACTTTAAGACCCCGTGGACACCCTGTATTACTGCTTGATCAATAAAAACAATGTGCAAGATCATTGCACAAACTGTTATATTTTAAATAATTAATTAATCATTATTTCATTAATTTTAATAAATAAATAAATACATAAATGAATGAATAAATAAATGAATAAAATAATGATTAAAAGACTAAATAAATACTTGCATATATGAATGAATTACTGTATAGATGAATTAATCAATTACAAATATATAAAACAGGGTTTAAAACAGGATATGGATCATTTTCATTGTAATAATTGATATTACCAATGAATCTTTTGAATCTAATAGTATTTAACTTGGGACTGTGACAAAAGTATAATACAAACATGCAACTATACAGGTTATTTGAGTAAAAAATTCACAAAATACAACTCAGCCCTTGGGAAATGAAAAGTCTGTGCATTGAAGAACCCTCCATCAGCAACACTGACCCATAACAATAATCTGAGCATGTGTGTGATTCAGAGCGAGAGGTGTAAACGGTGTCAGCTTTAAAGACGTGCTCCTGCCACAGCAGCTG